TAGAATAATACCCTTTGTCTGCGCCTGCAGCGGGTTGTGGGCGGGCGCATTTGCGTTGGAAATGGGCCACTAGATGCGGCAACTGCAGCAAATTCCACGCTGCTTCTATACAGTATATACCTAGCAAGCCGGCCGGCCCGCTCTGGCTCCCTGAATCTGTTTGCACTCTTCGCTGCAAGTTCTGTGCAGCCGTCGAGGGTGTAGCAGAAGCTACCCTGCAAAATGAGGTTAGTGAGCCCGCACGCGGAGGCACAAATTTCGCGAACGTAGCTAAATGTATAACTACCCCCGTATTGGCAGGGGTAGGCATTATCAACATAATGTAGACCACTTCCACATCACACTCAGCAGTGTGAACTGCCAGGTGTGCGTGCGGACATAGTGAGTGCATAGTTCTCTAACATCCTCATGTAGGCTACTGACAGCAGTAGCTGTGGTGCTGAACTGCTTGGTTGTCATTGCAAATGCTGATGTCCCACCTCCAACAGTACCAACTCCGAGTTCCTGCACTGTGGATAGTGAGAAGCACAACACTATTACCACTGCTACTTCATTATAACATCCCTGTAGATCTTTTCACCTATATCGAAGAGGCTACAGACTTGTCTAGTGTAACGGGACCTTGCACAGACGTAGCAGCTTATCAAGCTACCGATCCTTTGACTAGGGTAATCGCCCCTTTCCAGGGTGTGACAATCAGACTCGATGGAGAATACTGCATTGCATTCATTGCCAGGGCCGTCGCGACCAATACTGATCCTCTGTTCAGTTTCTATGACGCTGGTGACAATTTATTGGGCGGTCTTACGTATGGAAGTGGCATGATAACATATGACCTCAACCGAGACTTATACGAATTTCCAGTCGACACACAAGACTGGCAACGTTACCAATTATGCTCTAATGGAAGTACCTTAACCCTCTATCAAGACTGTGTTGCTGGTATCTCTCTCTCGATCACTCCAATTACTGGATATAATGATGACGAACTCATCTATCTTCTGATAAACCCAGATGGAGATATATTTGGAGTAAGTTTAAATGTATACCAGTCCCAACGTCTTCACTTTTAACAATTCTCAGGGATCAGTTTCCTCACTCTACTTCATCAACTGTGGAGGATCTGATCGTGTTACTCAGGCTGGCATAGCAGGAATTCAGTGTCAACATATTGACACAAGTTGCTCTAGACCACCCGTCTCAATTGATGCAGCGGTGGCAGCATACTTGAGCCAGAATAATGCTGGTGTGCCTCCAATACCCGATCCGGTAAAACTAATGCATTCAAATGTAATCAGCAAGGATTAGTTTGAACTTTTATTGCAGCCTCCCGTCTTCTCACTGAAAGGAGTAAGCATTCCACTGGTCCACAAGCTCGAATCATTGTAATTTGCTCTTGTGTTTTCCCTTGACTATATACACGTAGCAAAAAGGGCAGAAAGGAGATTCCGGAGCGTCAACCTTTGGACCTGTAAGTGCGTCACCTTGCTCTGGACACACTGTCTCATTCTCAATTCTTTGCCCCTTCGTAGCCTGGCATACAAGGTCCACCCGGTCCAGACGGACGACAGGTGACACTTAGCATATCTAATGGAGAGGGGGACAGAAGTGAAGCTCCTCGCCCCAAATGTTTTCTCTTTCTCCAGCCAAATTGAATCTAGAGCTAGCTATACATATATAATGCAGATGCAAATTCACTGCCAAAGATATAAAAACAGGGACTATTTTACTGATAACTGACCTCTATCTTTCTTTATGCATCTAGGGTCCAAGAGGTCCTCAAGGTATACCTGGTCTGCCTGGACGAAAGGGACCACGGGTAAATCATAAAACAGAACGCCGTTATTATATTTTTTCTGAAACAATCACATATACAGGGAGACCCTGGATTACCCGGCTATCCTGGAGTCCAAGGTCCACCTGGACCACCTGGACAACCTTTTGTTGTATGTTACACATGTGTCTCCAATTCGACAATGTGTGCACTTTCACCTCTAGAGTGAGTCTCAATCAGACGCCACCGATTCACAAGCAGGAGACTATGACAAGGGACCGGCAACTACATGCACTCCGGTACACACACCAAACATCCTCTGATTGTTGCCGTAGACTTTATGTACGAGTGACTAACAGTTTCATTTCTCTCTCAAAGGGTGAGCCTGGGCCGAGAGGTCCTCCGGGGCCTCAAGGAAGATCAGGTCCTCCGGTGAGCATCCCACAGCTCTCTGTAGATGCATGATTCACATCACTTTCCTGTTAATATAGGGACCGCCAGGCCAAGATGGTGCGCAAGGTACCCCAGGTGACAGAGGCAGTCCAGTAAGGTTACAAGAGTGGAAGTGATCTAATGGATGACTTGCTGTTTGGTATAGGGTCCAGTTGGTGCACCGGGTCCTCCTGGGCCAAGAGGACGTGGTGGAGACACTGTAAAACTGTTTCTGTGGTGTGTGACCTTTCATTGTGCTAATAATAACAGGGTCCTCATGGACCTACCGGACACCCTGGACCACGTGGCCCACAAGGAGAGAAAGTATGGGCTTTCTAATGCAAGAGTCATATGTTTTACTGTGTGTGTGTGCTGTACTAGGGAACAAAGGGCTTAACTGGACCAGCAGGACCCCAGGGACCCAAAGGACCATCTGTAAGTGTTCTATCTACAAAGTCATTCATTTTAAGATCATTTTTCTCATCATAGGGTTCCCCAGGAGCTGCTGGCAAAGCCGGCACAAACGGAGAGAATGGTGATCCTGTGAGTAGCTAGCTATGTAGGGTGGGAAAGAAGATGTCTGTTTGAAAACCTTTTCTCACTCTTTTAGGGTCAACCCGGAGACACTGGCCCACCTGGTGCTTCAGGGATACCTGTTAGTTAATTATATCCTTCAGATAAGTACAACGCAATGCCCTGTTTATTTCTTCCTAGGGACCACCTGGCTCACAAGGACCATCTGGTGAAATTGGACCCCCTGGACCATCTGTGAGCCACATTATTCTTTCTCTGCTGATCATAAGACACCCATTCTAATAGGGTCCATCGGGAGAAACAGGAGAGCCTGGAGCAAAGGGAGCAAGGGTATGTATTATGATCCATGTCCTAACAGGTGTATTGTGAAATTGCTCTTCAACGTTGTTACAGGGACCTCAAGGGAACCGTGGCCTGCCTGGACAACGTGGACCAACTGGACAGCCTGTGAGGCATTAAACTCTCTCTCTCTTCTCTCTATCTATCCTTCTCTCTTACTCCGTACTCACCCTTCATGCATTTGCCGGCTGTATCCAGGGAAGAGATGGAACACCTGGCTCACAAGGACCACCAGGTGTCGACGGCACACCTGGTCAGAACGGAGATGTGGGCCCCTCTGGATCCGATGGACCACCAGTTAGTACTCGCTTCAATACTGTCCCCTCTCTACAATGAGTGCAGCATATTTTTGACGAGCAAGAGCAAGCGGTCCTGTAGGATTCATTCAGACCTTTGAACTGTATGTTCTGTAGGGCCACCCTGGACCTGAGGGTTCTTCTGGAGAAAAGGGAGTCGCAGTGAGTAATCTCTCGATGTTTCTATGTACATCTTTACCAACCCCCCTCATTAGGGTACCCATGGACCCCATGGCCCACCTGGACAACCTGGCCTCCAAGGACTAACTGTGGGCACCTTACTATCATAACTGACGTGCCGTTTCAATCTCTGAATATATAGGGAGACGTCGGCCCACCTGGACAACCTGGCCAGAAAGGAGAGAGGGTGAGGCTGTTGGAAGATTCAGCAATACTAATACCTTTCTCTCTGCCTATTATAATTATATGTCAGGGTCACGATGGTGTAGCTGGAGCTCGAGGTCCTCCCGGAGAACCTGGTCCTATTGTGAGGAGCTAACCTTTGCTGCACTCTTATGCAACCTTTTGCTGCATACATAGGGAGTACCGGGCCCACCTGGAGTTGATGGCAAGGATGGAGACGATGGAGTGCAGGTAGGTTCTGTCATTAGATACTCTTATGTATATTAGACCACTGGCTGCTACAGGGCCCAACTGGAAGACCAGGTCCTGCTGGAGCTTCAGGACAACCAGGAGAGAGGGTATGATATATATACAGCTCATCTGTACTATTATTAGTATCATAATTGTGGAAGGCTCCGACCAGCGGTTACATACATGTACATTCATTGGAATGAGTTAAGTATATTATGCGAGATACATCATTGTGCGAAAGCAATATTCCCAGCTATGAAAAAGCACAAACTAATACTGTAACACACTGCTTGCTATCACTGCTGCTTGTATATACACTCCAAAGGGTCCGCAAGGCCCTTCAGGATTCGCTGGCTACCCAGGTCCTCCAGGACCCAAGGGAGCGATTGGCCCGCCCGGTGCACGTGGTCTGAACGGACCAAAAGGCAAGAGGGGCCGCTCAGGATTCAACGGGGAGCCTGGACAAACTGGACCCAAGGGACCACAAGGACAGCGTGGCTTGCCAGGTGCACCAGGAAGACATGGACGGAAGGCAAGCAACAACAAACACACTCACACTATTCCCATTTGGTTGTATTCCAGGGATCTCTTGGACCCGAGGGATCAAGTGGACCGCCTGGCGACCCCGTAAGCATTCTGTCTATGATGCATAAGAAATCACTCTTTGCTAACTGTGGTAGGGATTCACTGGAGAACCAGGCTCAAGGGGACCTCCTGGACCACCCGGAGAAGCTGTAAGACCTCAACTATATCTAACATACCCATAATTATTCCTCCACTCAGTATACAGTTGTTAAACGTTTATGTGATTCCATGTGATGTCCCTCCACTCAGGGCCCACCAGGAGCAGACGGAGCCCCTGGCTTTACTGGTGCACCTGGAGATGCTGTGAGACACCCACACATCACTTTGAACTGCCAACTCCCCTCATCATAGCGTTTGCCTTCCAATTCAGGGGACGCCGGGAAAAGATGGAGTCCCTGGACAACAAGGACCACGAGGAGAAAAGGTAGACCTTTAACCATTTACAGTGTAACCCACGTAATTTGTTGCTAACGGGAAACAGCAGGGTCTTTTGAATTAGGAGATCAAAAACATGTATATGGCAGGGAGATGATTTGAAATAGCGGGATTAAGTCAGTTTGAATGTGGGTTACACTGTAGCATGCTCAATATACTGATCAAGCAAGATATGGGCTGTGTCATGAATGACTGCAGGGTACATCTGGACAAAGAGGAGCATCAGGAGACTCAGGAGACACTGGAGTGCCTGTGAGTTGTGGGGACATAACTTTACTTTGGGGCATCACTTACAACAAGCTACCTTTCTATGAGCTATCACTTCTTTTGTATGAGTTATCACTTAGCGAACTTTCGTTATGCTATTATAGAGTTCTTAGTTCTTTGAGATATACGTAGCATTCACAAGCTTCTCTTCTGTTAGGGAGCCAGGGGGGAAGTCGGTACACCAGGAGCAGACGGCCGAGATGGAGAGCCGGGACAGACTGGTGCACCAGGAAACACCGGTCCTCCTGGTCCTCAGGGAGAGAGAGGGGACAGGGGTGAACCTGGACCGAGGGGTCTGCCGGGGGAGGTCGGGCCACAAGGTCCGCCAGGAGAACCAGGCAACAACGGAAACCCTGGGACCCCCGGAACAGCCGGCCTTCCCGGACCAACAGGACCGCCTGGAAATCCCGTATGAGGGTTCAACTGAGTGGGTGGTGTGGTTAATTCAGTACCAGTGTGTTCAAGTGTGGTGTTGGTTTGAAGGGTTTATTCCGCACGAGTGTGTAAGTGTGTGCAGTTGAGGTTTGAGGGGGTTTTAATTACCAACACAGGGTAACCCAGGAACAGCAGGGCAGCCAGGTACACATGGACTTGCAGGAGAGAGAGGAGAGAGGGGGGAGAGAGGAGATCCTGGTGATGATGGACAGCCTGGAGCTATAGTAAGCCACACACACACACACACAGAACAGCAGATAAAATGTGAATCAATGTTTTCATAAATGACAGGGTCCCTCTGGAGCACCAGGAGAGCCAGGTGATCAAGGCCCAGATGGACCAAAGGTGATGTGATGAACCCTTCCTTTCCTTCCTTTGTATATTATGTGTGCATTAGCAATGTGCTGAATAACTTAGAGTATAGTAGGTAAGGCGTAGTGTCCATATGCTTGTGCAAAGGAGGCACGTTTGCCAGTTTTTACGGCAATTGGTTTTGCCACACACAGGGCACAGATGGTGATCCTGGACCACAGGGAGCTGAAGGCCCCAGAGGAGAAACTGTTAGTGACTATTACATAATTGAGGTCACGCTGACTCTCAATCACATGGTACGTAGGGTGCACCTGGCCCACGAGGACCACTCGGGTCTCCCGGAGCAGACGGACCACCAGGAGAAAGAGGAGAACGAGGATTTATTGGAACCAAGGGTGACCGTGGCTCAAAGGTGGAGTACACACCTCAAAAAATTTCATAACTGCTGTTGAGAATCCAGTGTACCTACTTTTAATGTTCTAGTTATGCAACAGTCCATAGCATTATGCATAACTGAATATCTACAAAACAAGTGGAAGTTCTACTGTTGAGAAATGTCCCATTAACATCTGGTTGCAGGGTGAGCGGGGTACAAGGGGTGCTGCTGGACAAGATGGAAGACCTGGTGATAGAGTAAGTCGTAATGTGGAAAACAGCTATTGAATGCTATACTATGACTGGCATCAATAGGGAATCGTTGGAGAGCAGGGGAGAGAAGGGAGAGACAGGGGAGAGAGGCGCAACTGTGAGTTGTGATAAACACAGAGAATGCTGTGCTCCATTTCGCTCTCATTCTCAGGGTACTCCTGGTGTGAGCGGAGTGCAAGGCCCAACCGGAACCTCTGGGGATATTGTAGGCCCCGCACTATAATATTCACCTGTCCCTGACACACACACACACACTTCATACGAAATCTGTCTCCTTCTGCAGGGACCAGCTGGCCCACCAGGTCCTTACGGCACTCCCGGACTGAAGGGAGACAAGGGAGACATTGGTCCCCCTGGACAGGTCGGTCTTCCAGGACTCCCGGGTGCAAAGGGAGACAACGGCGTTCCGGGAGAAGTCGGCCAAAATGGACCACCTGGACAACCAGTTAGTTTCCCACTCTCCGACCTGGTGTTCCTCGAGCAATTACTCTAGGGAGCAAATGGAGATACTGGTGCCAGTGGACTTCCTGGAGAGCCTGGATCTCCTGTAAGCTGGATAAAAACTATCCCCCGTGGCAGTATATCTTTCACGGATTTCCGATGATGTTGCTCTGCACAGGGACATGTTGGTGCTCCTGGTCTTCCAGGCCCACAGGGACCTACTGGACCTCCAGTACGTTGGAAATCCAACCTTGATAATACTAACTGTAATAGTTGCCTTTCCTGTACTTTTGAGAGCTTAACTGTTGTCCCAGCATTTGTGCTTTAGCAGTTTAGCTTGCAGCTGAGTACTGACTGATGCCAGTTAGAGTGTTTTCTCAAAAAGTCGTGTGTATCCTATCATAGTGGTAAAACTCTCTTCCAGGGACAAGACGGTGTAGATGGAGAGGACGGTGTACCAGGTACCCCGGGAGAGCAGGGCCCACTTGGACCACACGGCCCAACTGGACCACACGGAGACCCTGGCCCCCCTGTATGCACGTTCTTCCCCAACACCTCTCTCTCTCGCCGACAGTGGCAAAAACATGATTATTCTGTATGCAGGGACCCCCAGGACCAACTGGCGAAGTTGGGCCCAAAGGCTCACGTGGACAAAAGGTATAATATGCCCTTTAAATTTCTATGGCAAGAACAGTAAGACAGACTCTTTACGGAAAGGATAGTAAAATATACTATTTTAGAGCCGTTTATATTGTTACCGTAGGGAACACAAGGCCCACTTGGCATCAGAGGTCCAGCTGGACCACCTGGATCACGGGTGAGTCTCCATAATGACTAGTTCTCTCACAGTGAGGTATGGGGTGTTTTCCACAGGGAGAGGTTGGCCCATCTGGTCTTCCTGGACCTCCTGGTGTTCCTGGAGCCACTGTAAGTCGCACTTGTTGGGAGAGTGCTATATTATAACACTTGTAGACAAAATATCAGCTTCTTGCTTGTACAGCAACACTGTGTGTAATTATATTCCACAGAAGAGCACTCTTTACGTGAGTGAGGTAGAGTCTTTTTAATGATTATAGGGTGAGACTGGCAGACCAGGTAGCGATGGAGCAACTGGAGAGGCAGGACCAAGTGTAAGTTATATACCTCTCAAAATAACACAGTTTTAACAATATTGTAATTGCAGGGGGCACCCGGAGATGACGGTCCTCGGGGTGTGCCTGGCGAGAAGGGAGAGCAAGGTCGACGTGGTGACAAGGGAGATCAGGGAGACAGGGGTGACACTGGGCCACCTGGTGCAGCTGGACAAGTGGGTCTTCCGGGAAGAGCGGGACCCAAAGGATCCAGGGTAAGCACCAATGTCTCAGATTGTGAGTGAGTTAGCTACATGACCTTCTCTTCGACTGACCAGGGAAACAGTGGTGTCTCCGGACGAGATGGCGACCCTGGCCCACTCGGACCTCAAGGACTCCAGGGACCACGGGTACAACACACACACACACACACACACACGCACAATTTATGGCACTACATCTTGTTCCCCACACTCTATTTCCCTCCTTTTTATTACACGCACACAAAGTTGCCCCCACACCAGAACCATCTTCGCAGTTTGTGCTAATTGCCTTAGACACTGTATGTTAACACTCTGCACTGACTAACACAGGGAGAGAAGGGAGACCAGGGAGTGCCTGGAAACCCTGGACAAAAGGGAGAGACTGGAGAACCTGGACAATCGGTAAGTCCTCACTCCCTCTTTACACGCCTACCCCTGTGATTCACCGGCAATTTCTCATCTCTCTTCCTCCTCCCACAATCCAGACCACAGTCAACCTTGGATCACAAGTGAGTCCATTATTAACATTCACTCGAAAAACGTCATCTCCATTCTCCCCACAATCCCATAGTCTTCGTATCCTCCTGGAACTCTGAAGGGAGGCGATTTCTACATCAGCGACAAGATGCCCGGCGACAAACTGTTCCAGGAGGGAGTAATGACCTTCTACAACGAGGTGGAGAAGATCAGAAACACCCTCTACGAAGTCCTGAAGCCCAACGGGAGCCAGGCAGCCCCGGCACGCACCTGCTATGACCTCTTCCTCTGCAACCCAGACTTCCAAGAAGGTCACATGACACTTACTTGATTGTAGTTATACTCCTTTTTCTTCAGTTGATGAACTTGCTTCTGCTGCCCTTAGTAAAAACTTGCATGGCTCGTGTTAAAAACTTGGGGAATGAAAAACAGTCTTTTAATCATGCTGCTATTCTAAAACCAAGGCAGTCTATCTTGTAACCATGCAGGTCACTACTGGATTGATCCTAACATTGGTGGCAAGCAGGATGCCCTCCAGGTATACTGCAGCAAGCCGGGTTGCTCCTGCATTGACCACTCACTCCAAGACAGCTCGGTGCCCACCTTCCATGCCGATGCTGGGGATAAACCATTCTCAGAACTATCAAAGGGATACGAGGTGAGAATGACACTCCTGACAATTCTCGTGGATGAGTTTCAATCTGTGGGTTAATGAGTGCTGTTGTCCTTCATGAAAAATCAGTATTGTAGGCTTTTTACACCAAGCCCAGTGAGGTTAGGAGGATAAGGACAGCGAGATAGGGCTAGGTTTTGGTTGTAGCATGCGCCGGGCTTTCCAGCAGACCATTTTTTGCCATACAAAAAGGTTTTTGTTGTGAAGTTTACTCCATAAATATGCATGTACCAGTTCGTAACTTGCGTAACGTTCTATGAGCTCGTTAAACACTGTCTCAATCTCTTCCAGCTCCCATGGCCAGTGCACATTGACCAGATAGCTCTGCTGCAGCTACTCAGCAGCTCAGCCACCCAAGAGTTCAGGTACTACGGCGGCACCGAAAAAGTCGACTTTGTAGGAGCAGATGAAGAGCCCCTTGTCGTCTATGACGATGAGATGACAGCAGTAAGTAGCTATAATATATAGTCCACCAGAACCAGGGGCAATGTGGTCTTAGTGGGACACAAGTTAGTGGTTCCTGGCACTACTCTCATGGGGGGAGGGGGGTTGCGGGGCACCCACCCTATTAGCGGTGGTCAGAACTGCAGCTTTACTCTTTCTGTCAGTCTCACCCCCTCTTTCTCCCTCACACGCTCTAGTTGAAGTCAAGAACAGATTACATGCTGTCAGGTGAACCGGAACAGTTCCCAATCCTAGACTTTACACCACATGATGACACCTTCGGTTTTGAGATGGGCAAAGCATGCTTCTGCAACAAGTTTCAATGAACACTGAACTCTACCTCTTAAGACTCTGTCTCTAGTTTTTCTTGTGTTCATAGTGTATTATATGTGCATGCACACCATCAACTTGTGCGCATCTCTGACAATGTATTAGGTTTAATTTATAGCTAAAAACTGCAGGCCAGTGTCTGCGTTACATCTCATTACTGATAACTACTTTTATGTTGTGAGTTGTATAAATGAAGTTTTTTTTCAATTCGGTAAATATTGTATAAATAAAGTTTTTTCAAGTTGGTAAATATCACAGTTTATTTATAAATTGCTATCAGTGTGTTCTCAATAGTGTTTTAAAATACAGTAATAAAATTAATGGTTTAGCTCAAGCCCCGATCAGCTAGATTGCTTGTCCACCTTTATCAACAAGCAAGAGCAGGTAAGACAACCGTCCACCTTACCAAGCTCTGAACCCATTCAGAGGAATCTTTCTCCCTGGGGTTTCAATGGCGAAGAAAAACGATTCATGTACCAAAAGTTAGCAACCAGAGATGTACCACGCTCTTCCATGAAAAGAACGTGGGGCCCGAGGGTACGTACCAGGGATGGTTATCAGAGCTACTCCATCCACAACCACTGCAACATCCTCTACAAAGACACAGTCCGGGAATAGATCATCGGCTGGCAGTGACACGACCTGTAGACCCAGCTCCTCGCTCAAAACCTGAGCCGGGGGAAATCCGTAGCATGCCCGTAGGCTGACCTAAAATTGGTATTATGGCATACTTCGCGGTAAATGTTATTTTGCCTGAACAATGAACATATTTACTAAAAATTACTCGAGAACAGAATCCAGTTCAAGTCTACAGGAATGGAGTGAAGCATAGCAATCCACCACGTCCCATAGTGAAGCGTTGTGCGCGCACGCAGTGAGCGGTATGCGCAACGCGAGGCCGGACTCAGAGAGCCACGCCTCCTTCCCGGGCGCGCGCGCGCGGAATGCTTCACGTAGCGCGCGTGGGTGGAGCGCCCCGCGGACGCGCGGACCTTACGTCGGTGCGTCTGCACCTACCGAACCCCCTCAGCCTACGGGCATGGTGCCACCTTATTATTGGCGAGCGGGAGCGAGCCAACCTAGTCGTTCGTTCGAGCGGAATTTTGTACGTCCGGAGTCGGTCCGTCCAAACCGCGTACCGTCCGCGCGCGTGTCGTACGTCGTGTAAGTGCGCATGCGCGGCTTTGTACGGGCTTCTTTTTTTTTTTGCACATTTTCACACGCGGTGCCTCGCCAGCGACTCCTCCATTCGATACCTCTTTCCAATCTTCATGGTTCCAAGCTGCAACTTACAAATACGCTAGGATTGCTCGTGCACATACTGCTGCCTGGTGGACCAGCTAACACACGCCGCGTTGTCGGGCAGCCCGATCGATCGCTGCTACTGCCATGCCAGCTGCCTGGTGGACCACGAGCTGAAAGCGTAAGGTAAGGACCGTTCTGCTCACCTGCTCACCGTTCTGGCAATACACAGTACGCATGTAACGGCGACAGGTAGCTCTGTCTTGCTTCACGAAAGGAAAGCTGTGCGCTGACGGCACGTTATGCATCCCGAACATCGCGGACAAATCCCAAGTTGGGTCGCTCCCGCTCGCCAACAATGTTCAACATTCTTCAATATAGCTACGTCCAAAATAGAAAATTCAACCCGAAGAAACAACTAAATTACGCCTGCCGTCGCAATCTGTTTGCACTCTTCGCTGCAAGTTCTGTGCAGCCGTCGAGGGTGTAGCAGAAGCTACCCTGCAAAATGAGCCCTCACGCGGATTCGCGCGAACGTAGCT